CTCATAGAGATGTTCTATTTGGCTATAAGCATGCCAATTTTTTTGATCATTTGGTCCTCCAATTCATGTCCCATAATATTAAGAATTGAAGAAATATATCAGTTGTTTCGTATTTATGGGAAAATAGAGCTAAAAGTTTATGTCATATCCAAGGTTTAAAATTGCGTAATTAAGCCTCGAAGTGGTTTTCGTCCGTAAGGCGAGGCGTAAGCCTCGAGGCGGTCTGAGGCGTAAGCCTCACGGACACAAAATTGCGTAAATGAGAAATTAAGGGTTTTAGCAGGATAATAATAATAATATTCTATCTTACAATAAAAAAGATCTAAATGATATATGAAAATAGTGGAAAATAACAAAATAGTGCAATCAAATCATATGCCAAAGTACAAAATCACAAAATATTAGTTCAACAAAACTCCCAAAGCACAAAGTACAAACTACAAATAACATATAAAATGCAATCATATCCCATCACTAAATGAGTCTTTAAGGGAATCTTCTTCTCCAATTGTATCTATGAATGTCATATCACATCATCTTCAATACTGTTCATTAAGAGAAAAGATCATTATCATATTAATTGCTCACTTGATATAAATATAATACGATAGCATATAAGAAGTTGTGAAATACCTTTACTTGATTGTTGTGCTGCAGAGCTAGTGGATGTATGTGGTGTGGTACTAGTGGATGTGCCCACTTGATCTGCTTCGCCCCTCAAGACATTCACATTTAGATCTTCTAGCTGTAAGTCTGATAATGGCAAATCTGTCTCATCATCTATGAACTACTCATTATCAAATGACACATCATCACACACTAACGCGTCCTCATCATCCTTCAACCCCTTATTCCGCAACCTCCTATCTCTTAACCTCTTGTTGTGCATAATATATACGAGGGAGTTCATTCTGAGTGTTGATAGCTTATTTCTTCTCTTTGTTTGCACTTGATTATATGTACTCCAGTTTCGCTTACAACCAGAAGAAGAACAAGTGAGACCCAACACTCTTACAGCAAAACTCTGTAACTCAGGAGTGGAATCACCAAATTGGATCCACCATTCAATTGTTTTCAAGAAGAAAAAAGATAATCAGGATTCAGAACTGAATAAAGGATCTTGCATTTACCAAAATAACTATACCTGGAGACCGTTTGACAATAGTTGATTTTGCTGCATTCAGACAAAAAAAAAACACTCTTTATTCCGGAATAGAACAAGTTGTAAATCTGCAAGCTCCCTATCTGCCTGCTCCGGTATTAGTCTTTCCATACAATGATACAGACCAAGCTTCACCTCCGGGTTTGAAGATTTCTTCTCTTAATATTGAAATTGAGGATTTAAATAATATGCCGCTGCATGTAGATGATGATGTAACTGCACCTCCCACCGAGCATCAATGATATCCCAAATCTCTCTATAACTTGCCTCCTCTCCTCCCAAGTTGTGTGCAATCAACTCCTTAGCCTCATCCATAGCTTTATAAATAAAACTCATAGTTGGTTTCTTCTCTGCATCTACTAAGCGTAGTACTTGCACTAAGGGTCTCGTGCTCAATATGGCATAGGTCACAGTAGCCCAAAATTTATCATTCAGAATAATCTTTCTTATTTCCTTCCCCTCACTTTTCTTCCCCCAAGCAGAGTTAACCCATTCAGTTGATGTAAACATTGCTTCCAAAGG